TTTTAATTGAATTTTAATCTAATCTGGCATGCGAAATATATGTCAAGTTGATTACCAGTATATATATGGTTGTTTAAAATAATTCTTGAATAACTTGTGTGTTTGGTTTATTTTAAGCTTACAGATTGGTTCTGTTTTAATGAATGATTTAATTCGTATTATTATAAACAAGGGATTAGGATGTCAAGGAATATATATAGGATGGTTAAGATCAGTTTTGATTATCTGTATATGTTCTAGTATTACCTGTAGTTATGTCTGCAAATCGAAGATCAAGTTGTATGTTAACGCATAAGGAATCGGTAGAGGTTTTAAATCACTGTAATAAATTTTAATTGTCGAACCAAACCATTGGGATGCTATTTGGTATTAATAAGACCCTTAGGATTAGTTTTAGAAACCAACTGAAGAGTAAAAAGTGGCCGGGGTCGAAGCAGATCATCGGAAACGAAGAAGGAAGCGGAACAGTGGGCTCCCCCTTTTTGGAGGCGGCTCCAAAATGTTTTGGAGGCGGCTCCAAACACTTTGAGCCTGCTCCGGCTCCAAACACTTTGAGCCTGCTCCAAAAGTTTTTGGAGCCGGCTCAATGTTGGTTTGAGCCTGCTCTATTTTTTTTAGAGCAGGCTCTTTCAATTTTGATGCGTACTGTAAGTTTTCAGAAATTGTTTAGGCTCTTGGGGTTTTTGAACAGTTTTAAAACTTTAATTGGGGTTTCAATAATTAATTTAGGATGTAATTAAGGTCTTGTATTGCATAAAATACCCTCTTTGTATTAATGGATTTAACAGTGCCTATTTAACAACTTGTGCGCGGTTAACTGCTGGAAGAAAGTTAAATTGTCTAATTTTAATTTGACAATTTAGGGTGCTATAATATGATTCTAAATTAAATTTTAGATGTATGAGGGAGTCTTTTAATTAACAAATTGGACTTGTAGAATAATTTATGGTTCGGTGCTAAAACAATAAAATAGTATGCAAAGATGCAACCTAGCATGCAATTGATGGATAAAAGGAACTGAATTACTAGAATTAATTTTAGCAATTTCTTGGACAATATTATGATTTTAAAACTTATTTATATGCATGATAGAGTTATTGATTTATTAAAACTGATATATTCATGCTCTGAATGTTAGTCGTTGAACTGTTAAACAATACATGGTTTAACTCTTGGATTTAAATTGTTGAACCTTTAAACATCTTTTTGTAATTATTTGGGTTATAGTTTGGACTTAAATTGCTGAACTAATACTTAGGTTCTGTTAAACTAATTGGATGTTGGCCTAGAATTAATTATATATATATTTTCTGTCAATTACTTGGTTGGATGGTGGATAATTAACTTGATGAACTATTAAATCTTGTTTTGTTAGTTACATGGATGGATTCTGGATTATAGATGATGAACTATTTAAATTCTGTTTATTATCTATTTGGATTATATGGATGTGTTTGATGTACTGCATAAAATGTTGCATCTTTTACGGATCATATGCAAGGTATGTACCGATATGGGACGGTGACATACGGAGGGACGGATTAGATCAAAACATTAATTCCAACCCATTCATACATACGGAATGGATTAACTAAAACAGTTAAATCCTACATGGTTTCATGTCCTGTCAACTAAAATAGTTGAACGACATATTGGATGGTTGTTTATATTTTCTGTTAATAGGAAGGATAGGGATTTAATTAAAATATTTAAATCCTAGTTATATGTTGTGTTTTGGCAACGAATCAGTTGAGCGGCACTACATTGGTTTGGATGGGAATTTATATATATAAATTATGGTACCGCGATCTGAGCTTGAGTCTCATAGTCGACGGTTAGGGTGCGTATATGCAGTAGGATGCGTAGCTAGCTATGTTGGTTGAGGTATACCCTGTTAGGCTTAGGTAGTCATGCCCACTCAGGTGCGTATTGCATGTTACCTTCTATTCAGGTTGAGACCCTCAGCATAGTTAGTGAGAGTCCTGTAGTGTGGATATATATTTATCTATTACGGACTATATAGATATGATTGAGACGTCTAGGATGTATCTGCGTATCGGGTCTCTGTTTGGATTGTTGTTAGGATAGAACTTGTTCGTGGGCCTGACCCACTATTATTTTTCAGGTAACGGATGGTTCCAGGTCTTAGAGCTTGTTCGTGCTGAGCAGAGACGACTACTCATTCTACCGACGATGTAGGGGGTTCTTCATGGTTTAGCAGTGGACTTCTTTTTAGTTGTTCGCTTTCCAGTATTGGCTTTTGATTAGGGGTCCACCAGATGGATTCCCGAGTTGTATTATAATTGGAGAAGTTGGATGTAACAGACTAGTTCTTATTTATAAGATTTATTCTAAAGTTTTTAATAAAGGATTTTCATTTAGTTTCTTTTCAGTAAAATTTTATTCATTCCTGTTTTCTATATTGTATTCTGTATTCGTTAATTGCTAATTGATTTGATATCCTTGGGTAATCGGGCGTGGGCCTGGCCAACCCGCATCCGGAAATCCGGGGGTTGGATCCACTAGGTCGGGACGAGTTACCAAGCAAGTTGTAACTCGGTGGCAGCTCAAAACCCAAATCATCCTCATCATCGTCGGGATCTCGCTGCCATCGTCTCCTGTGCCTGCCCCGCCACCGTCTTTTGCGCCGACGTACTCACCGGCGTTAGTGGTGGTGTGTATAATATATATATACATGTATATATATATATATACATGTATATATATATATATATATATATATATATATATATATATATGTCTGTGTGTATAACTATCCAATTCCTCTTCGATCAAGCATGATACACCGGCGGCGGCACCAGAGGATTGTGTGTATTATATGTGTAAGGTGGCGATAATGAAAGTGGCAGAAGTGGGGTGATGGCAGTGGGTTTGTGGGGTGGTCTATCTTTAATCTCTAATCTTATAAACACACACATATATATAAATTCAGTTTAAAACCAGAAATATGTATATATATATATATATAAACAGTAGTGAAGATAAGGATAAATCAGACTTTTCGTTTTTTCGGTGAAGTCTTTTTTCGGTGAAGTCAGTAGCTGGAATGGACTGAAATACAACAATTTCATAGTTCAGGGTTTTTTTTTGTAGTTCAGGGTTTTTTTTTTGTAGTTCAGGGGGTTAGTTGCCATATGCCAATAGTTCAGATTTTATTTATTTATTTATTTATTTTTTTTAACATTTTACCCTGATAAAATTAGGAACTACCATATATATACACCTATAGATGGTTTAGATTACCATTTTTTTTTTCTTTTTTTCCCTTGCAACAAAACTGGCAAAAAGTTTTAACTGGTTGTAAAACCCATTTGCACCATGTTCCACGGCCAAACCCACTTGATTGAATCCACCATCATATGAGAAAAGTGCTCAATAATTGCGGTCTTAATATTGAAGAAGAAGTTTACCTTTAGGGCCATGAATTAAAGCTCGAAGTTATCATTGGTGTCACTGGACAGAGACAAATAATAAGAACTGGTGAGATCGTCCGCCGAGTTCATTTCTTGGTGATCACAAAATCAAATTGTCAAAGTGGAATAAGGATTATCAGCCATGGAAACATGATGTTGTCCCAAAGTTAATCAAATTTATTGAATCAAGATTTTTCACAATTTACAGAGAGGGAGGCAGAGAAACGGGTTCATTTCAGCAATTTTTTAATTTTTCATTTAATCAGAAAGCACATGCCTTATGCCTTGTGAAGAAGATCAACAGTGATTCAGTTAGACAAAGATGTGTGAGCGTGCCTTATGAAGAAGATGAACAGTGATGAAAGGAGTGTTTGGCCGTGTATTGTTTATAACCCTATTTGGTACCGGTTTGGTTGTAGCCCTTAACAAATGGGGGCATTTTTTGTCATTTCATTTACATTAGGGCACTATGGTCCTATAATTTCATCACACGCATCACGTGATTGCACATGCTGTTTGTAATGGTTAAAACTTGCTGGAGCCTTGCCCGTCATCTGCAACAATATTGCATAGTTGAGGGGACTAGTTATGACTTTTGTAGTTTAAGGAATTAATTGTTGGTATATCAATAGTTCTATTTTTTTTGCATTTTACTCTCTTAAAAATAAATATTTTGAATTGTGTGTATTAAGAAAAATAAATATAAAAATTAGAAACTGATTCGATATCTTACCATCCGTCAATTACCAACAAAGAGTAGGTGAGAATTGGTCAAATAAGAAAAATTATTGGTCCCGTTTAGACAATGACACATAAATAAAAAATGAATGAATCCGACACTAATGATTCTCGCCTTGTGCAAACGAGAAAAACAAGCTTTTAGACAAATTAAGAGAAATTGAGAGACTTTGTCCCATAAAAAAATATTATATTGATGTGAATTGGTTGCTTACTTTATGAAAAAGCAAAAAAACTTACCATATCCGGATTATTAATGGGTTTGTGGTGATGTAGATGACTTTTTTATTACTATTATATATATATATATATATATATTTCATTTTAATATATATATATATACCAATAAAATATCTATTACCCCTACTTAAAAAATTCATAATCCCACCGCCCACCATGTATTTTTTTGACTTGGCATTATGAAGAAGATTTTTCTTATGAGTCTAAAATGAATAAATTCAAACAACCGCCTCAAACGAATAAATATTGATTGAGAGATACTTATTACCTACCATGGTCAAGAGAATGCTAAGTTACAAATGCAAAAAAAAGAAAAAAAAGGACCTACCATGTTTGAGCACACCCTAAGGCCACCTACCATCTTTTATTTCCATATGCTCAACAACACAACAGAGTGCCTTAAGTAAAAATTATATTAGAAAAAACAGTAATTTACAGTTAGCTGATTAGCCATCAAATATTAATTTCCTGGAGACCCTCATCTTTTAAACACAAGCAATAATATTTATCAGCATTTTCAAACAACCGCTAATAGCCCAGCACCATTTTCAAGCACAAAGTTTCAAAGAAACAACACAAAAAAAAAAAATGGCTGAGAGTGCTGCTTTCCTTGTACTAGACAAGCTTGCACCCATTCTGCTAGAAGAGGTGAAACTGCAGGTGAAACTGTTTAGCGGAGTTCGTGAAGAAGTTGAATACATTAGAGCTGAATTCGAGCGCATGACTGCATTCCTTAGAGTTGCGGATTCAATGGAAGATAGTGACAAAGAAATCAAAGTTTGGGTTAAGCAAGTGCGAGACGTTGCTCACCACACCGAAGACGTTCTTGATGTTTTCATGCTCCGTTTGACGACTCGTCATCATCACCAGCGGAACAGATAACTTGTATTTTTCCGGAAGACTTATGGTTCTCTCAAGAACATAAAAGTTCGGTATCAAATTGGTGGGGAGATCCAGTCAAGGACATTGCTGAGGGACATCAGAGATACCGTCTCAATTATAATCTATTGCTGCAGGAGGGATCAAGCAGCTCCACCACCACCAACACCCATTACGGTATGATTCGCGAGGTGATGCACTCCTAGTAAAAGAAGCTGAGCTTGTAGGCATCGACAAGCGCAAGAAGGAGCTGATTGGTTTGCTGGTCAATCAGACGGAGGATCGACTAAAAGTGGTTTCTGTGGTGGGAATGGGAGGATTGGGTAAAACCACCCTTGTTAAGAAAGTGTATGACGATGCAGCACTAAAGAAACAATTCGAGAGCCATGCTTGGCTCACTGTTTCTGAATCACCCAAGATGGGAGAGCTCCTAAAAGACATGATTCAACAGCTCTACAGGGAAATAAATCAACCAGTCCCCCAAGAATTGGAAAGGATGGACAGGCTGAAACAGGCGATTAATGAATTTTTGCAGCAGAGGAGCTACTTGGTTGTGTTGGATGACATTTGGAATATTGATGCATGGGAAGCTGTCAAATATGCTTTCCTAGACAACAATTCCAAGAGTCAAATCATGCTTACTACACGTTTTGGAGATATAGCTTCCACCTCTTGCACAGAAACCGGTGGTAATGTTTATTCTTTGAATCCATTGTCTTTGGAAGACGCTTGGACTCTGTTTTGTAGAAAGGCATTTCCGGGCAAGGCCTCCTGCCCTCGGCATTTGGAGGATATTTCTCGAAGTATCTTAAAAAGATGCGAGGGGCTGCCCCTTGCAATCGTGACGATTGGTGGTGTTTTGGCAACGAAGAACCAGAGTAGGATTGATGAATGGCATATGCTTCATCGCAGCCTTGAAGTTAACAATAAGCTTCAGAACATGAAAAATATACTCTCTTTGAGTTACAATGATTTGCCTTGGCATCTCAAAATCTGTTTCTTGTATTTGAGCATTTTCCCTGAGGATCATGAGATCGAATGTATGAGATTGATTCGACTGTGGACGGCGGAAGGATTTGTGCAAGTTGGTGAAGATGGATTATTGACAATTGAAGAAGTTGCTGAGGGATATGTCTATGATCTTCTCAATAGAAGTCTGATCCAAGTGACAGAGAAAACTATTGATGGAAGGGCGAGAACGTGTCGTATTCATGACCTTTTGCGTGAAATTATTAGTATTCCGAAGTCGAGAGAACAGAATGTTGTAACTATAGCCGGTGAACAAAACACGCGTGGAAAAGTTCAACGCTTATCAATCCATAATGAGACCTTTGGAATTGTACAACAAAGCAAGCGACTCTCCCAACTTCGTTCGCTATTCATGTTTGGTGTACGTGAGTGATCCTTTATCCAAGTCATCAATGCCAATATTGTTTAGTGGTAATTGTAGGTTGCTGAAGGTTTTAGAGTTGAGAAATGCTTCTTTGGAGACAGTTCCAGAAGAAGTTTTCCAACTGTTTTGTCTTAGATATCTAAGCTTGAGGGGAACCAATGTGGAAATGCTTCCAAACTCCATCGGCAACCTCGTAGATCTAGAAACTTTGGATCTGAAAAAGACGTATGTTACCAAGTTGCCAGTTGAGATACAGAAGCGCCAAAGACTTCGCCATCTCCTGGTGTATAGGTATACGTATGCGACTTTTGAAGGAATGCATATACCTTTTCACATTACACATGGCTTTGAAGTACCGAAGGTAATTGGAGATCTGTCGTCTTTGCAAAAGCTTTGTTACGTCGATGCAAGTCCTAGTGATGGTGGGAGTGCTATAGTGAGCGAGCTAGGGAAGCTGACCCAACTAAGGAGATTAGGGATTGTAAAGTTGAGAAGGGAAGATGGAATGTCTCTGTGCTCCTCCATTGAAAAGTTGAGCAACCTTCGTTCATTAAGTGTGAGCTCGACAGAAGAGGACGAGATCCTTGATGTTCAATCTTTGCCTTCGAATTCGCCGCCTCAGTTTCTTCGAACGTTAGATTTGAAGGGATATTTAGAGAAGTTACCACAATGGATACTCTCGCTTGATAACCTGGTGAAACTACATTTAAAATGGAGCAAGTTAAGGGATGATCCACTGCAATCCCTTCAAGATTTGCCCAACTTGATGGAGATTGGACTTGATCACGCTTACCAAGGAGAAGAATTGTGTTTCAAGGCTGGAGGGTTTCAGATGCTTGAGATATTACGTCTTCGCCGATTAAAAGGATTGAGATGGGTGAAAATGGAGGAGGGCGCAATGCCTCATCTTGAAAAACTTTATATTTCCGATTGTCAATTGGTTAAGGAGATGGCCTCAGGCATTGAGCATCTAACCAAACTTCAATTGCTTTATTTGGGTGATCAAAGCATAGGAGGTGCAGATTACTGGAATGTTGCTCATATCCCAAATGTTCTATTTAGAGTATTTGTAGACGGTCGTTGGCGCGCGTACAAAATCTGAGAAACACGGTGCAAGAGAGATAAAGGCGAGCATAGATTACCTCAACTGCGCAAATTGCCTTTTCCTTTTCCTTTTTCCATTTCCGGTCCCATTTTTTTTATATATTTTTATTTCCTGTAATTTTTTCAGTTATTAATTTGTTGTTAGCTTATTACCATGTTGACATGAAAATAATAAAGGGAAAAACAAAATTAACAGTCCAGGTAGTGATTTAATATGTATGTAATTCTGAACCCTTACTACCTTTGATTTTATCAATTCTAATCTGTAAATGACACACACTATGATTTGCACTTTTGTAAAGAAATTTAATACTTTTAAACTTAAATTAATAATTTTATCATTGATAAATAAACACAAAAAAGTACAAATTAGGAATGTTTCTGCGTCAAAGTGAAAGGCAGAGAATTACAAATTTGGATGTTTGCATGTTAAACAAAGGATATACAATTGCTTAATTGATAAAATATATGGATTGAAATTGCAATACTAGTTTGCACATGGTACGTTTAGTGGAACCCATTTTTTAATATTGAGAGAAAAAGAGCGGAGAAGACTAAATAGTTCATGTAATGAACAGCACATTGAGAAATAGTTCCATCATATAAATGAATATGGAAAAAGAAATGGCATAGTTGTAGATGTATATTTTATCTTTCTTGTTGTAATAAATATATATATATATATATATTTTTAAATAATTAATAAGGAAATTCCAAAATTACCAACTATACAAAACGGTCCTACCCCGCCCGATTGCCTCCCCAGGTTTCAGATCCCTTCCACCAATGTAACCGTTGTGAGATCGTTCTGTGAAAACGACACCGGAGATGACTCCACTGGTTGGGTCGTCGAAGTATTCGTAGCCTCCATTATAACAACAATACACAAAAATACACTCTCCACACTTTGAATGTGTAAAATAGATTTAAATGTTATGGCTCTAAATGCAAAATACAATTACAGAGTTGAGGTGTATTGTGAAATTTCTTGAATTTCCTAAAAACGATTTTTTGCTTTTCATTTTTCGTTTTTTCTTTTGATTAACTAGTATGCTCTACAAGACATTACCTTGGCCACATGACAATAAAATAAAAAACTTCATCAGAAACCCTTATAATCCCTTATTTCAATCTCCTTGGGATAGAGAAGGGCTGCCTACCTATTTCATCCAATTTAAAGGCCATTGACTGAAAATGCCTACTTTATAAGATCACTTCTCGAATCAGTCATTGGTCCTGTCTCAATTTAAATCTACTTGACAGTCGTATTTGTCTTGCCCAATGGAGTCATCACTGAGCTAAACAAGTTGTTGAGATCCTTTCTTTGGAGGATGGTTTAGGCTTGCCTAACCTTGAAGTCTCTAACAGAGCTTCCATCCTAAGGTACATTGGCACATTCAGACTGCAAGTTCAAATAGAATACGGGTTAAGTGGTGCCGACATTACCTGGTGCAAGGGAGGTGCCTCTGGTCAGCTACACAATTTTTCTGGCATGATAAATGGCTCAGCAGTGGCCCTCTGTCCCTAGACCAATCCACTCAATCAATTGAGCTAGCCTTCAAACCTACTGACCTTAATTCCAGAACTCCTTCTCACAACCCTACAATCACAAGGTCAACAGACAAGGTCACTTGCTATGTCTCTCCCTAAGCCTCACAAGCTAATTTGGGACAAATGGAAATTCAAAATGGCTCAGCAATGGCCTTGGGTTCTGTTGGGTTCAATTACTCTTGTTTGGGCTATTGTTTACTTAGCCTTCTTTGTCCTTTTGGTCTGCTTTGGTACACCAAGGGCCATTGTAATTATTATTTTCTATTAATATATTTGCTTAACCTTTCAAAAATATTATATATATCATAAATTGAATTATATATAATTAGAAAAAAAAAAAAAAAAAATCGAAAGTAAGTTTGAGAACAATGTTTTGCTATGAAAAATGTCGGAAATAGAAATAAGAAAAAACAACTTTTATGGCTTTAGACCATGAAAATTTGTCAAAATAAGAAAAAACAATTTTTTTTTGTGTTTTGGTTTTGGATCACTATTTACGAAGTGTTTTAACACTATGTAAAATAAAACAAAGTCGCACCAAATATATTTTTATTATCAAAATCAATACTGTAATAACCCCAAAACAAAAATAACATAAACAAAACACATGTGAAACGGGAGCCTCAACTGAATTTCCTCTCAAGAATAAGCTTTCAACGTGGCTATTAACTGCAACGAGTACTTCAGTGGCAATCATGGCACTTACGATCAGTAACATTGTCCTACGAAGTTAAAAATTGATCCGGTATTCTTTTTTAATCTCTAATTAACATATGCTATCAACTCTCTCGCTCTCTACATTAATTCTCCATGATTTTGCCACCTATCAACACACACACACACACTCTCTCTCTCTCCCAAATTTTAGATTAGAATTTAATTTGAATTAGGGTTAAATTCTGACAAATCTAACTAAACTCATTCAAAACACCATTGCATCATGCAATTTTTGTGGATATGGATCAGCGGAACCAGCATCACTGGTAAATAAAAAATAAAAATAAAAAATTCCATTCTTCTTCTGCTTTAGGATATTCATGCATTAAAATCCAACAAAACCGTATCAACCACTTCTCCGGCCACACTTGTGCTTTAAAATCATCGCATTGATCCGCTCAAATCACCATGCATAATCCGATCACAACACCAGAAAATATTCTACCAACACACTCCATTCACCAAATGAAATTTGATTCATCACAAGTATCACAACTCATCAACAGTTTTTTACAACTTACTTGATTAATTATATAAAAGCCTACATACCAAATAATCAGAAGATGATAAACCACAAGAAAACGGAGCTATGGCACGAATTTAATATCATATATTATAAAGTTTTGGTATATGTATAATAAAAGCCTGCATATACATACCAAATAGTCAAAAGAAGACAAACCACTGGAAAACAGAGCTATGGCACGAACTAAATATCATAAATCCTAAAGTTTTGGGACCATCAAGCTGAAAAAAATTGGATTTTGTGCATTCCACTTTCCATGGACCTTCAACCTTTCGTGACTGCTGCCCTCAAGCTGCATGTATAGAAAAATAATTAACTAGATTGAAGTACAGAAGTTAACTCCACAAACTGACCAACTTCACAATATGGTAATTGGTGGTACTGGTTTAGATATAAGCAGTTATGCTAATTCTCATTTAAATTGTTAGCAAACTTAAGAGAGAGATTCTTTGAGATTAGATCTAGCTCACAAAATGAATTTTTTCATTTGTAATTAAAATGATTTCTAGGAGTATTTATAAAAGGAGAGGAGGTCTTGCATTGCAGCACTGTTGATCAAGTATAACTACCTTATCATATTCAATATGTAGAAGACTAATGAATTAATAATGGTTATAAAAAAAATATCTCATGAATCAGAAGGGAAACCATTGTTGTGCATTAGATGATATTGCAAGACATTTTCCATGTTAAACAACAAAGTGTTCGATCCACGTTATACACTGAGTCCTTTTATTCAAAATTGATAAATAGATCTCAAACTTTTTCCTTTTTTTTTTTTTTTTTTTTTTTTTTTAACAAATAAACAAATAATCTTATCTTAAGAGTAGAAACCAAAACCAAAGTGAAGACACTTACATTGGGGTGGCAAAACGGATAAACCTCGCAACATCTTCCAAGCGGTAGTCGTCCATGATGCATGAAAAGGAACGATGATCATCGGCAAATAACCAGCTAGATTTATCCCGGCCATCGTCTTGACCACTGCACCGCGAAGAATCATGGACCCGAAAGAGGTCAATCGTAACGTAATGATTAGGGATATTACGAAAATAGGAAAAGGGACACCCGTCGAAACCAGTGCGAACAACACAGAAGTGCCGGTTACCCAAGTAGGTCACATACCCAATGTGAGCATGGCTTATGTTGCCCGCGGGGCGTGGAAGGTCCTTCACCGGAGCTTGTTTGACCATTTTCCATTCGCAACTACCAAGCTCGACACCGACAACTGAAAGTGGGAAGTCGATGGTATCTTCTATCGGAAACCCAAAAAACTTGCCATTTGCGAAAACAGCTCCACCTCTGAAAGGTAAATGACAACTTACCTCTTGTTCCCAACTCTTTGTCCTGATATCGAAGGTGAATGTGTTACCACTGAATGTCGACAGAAAAATGGTACTTTTGAAAACAGCAGATGCAACTATATTATAATCCATGGCTGGCCTAGAACTTCCAAAAAGTCGTTCAGTAGAAGGAACATAATGATGAGCAGAGGGAAGCTTAGACCATTTCTGTGTCTCTAGGTCAAATAGCTCGAAATTATGGTCATGTAGGCTCCTACCATGGACAAAAACCTTCCCCTTGATGGGCCCAATCACAAAAGGAGCTACCTTTGGTGTTAACATGGAAGGTCCAGGCATAACACTGTTGGTTTCTGTGTGGTATATATGGACAACGTTGGAAGGTGTTGAAATACTTTTGCAAGAGTCAAATATTTCACCACCGACCATGTATATTTTGGATCCATCTGAGAAAAATCCCATACCCTCTGGGTATAGTCCTTTTTCCAATTGCTTTACAGGTTTCGGTACTGATTGTGGTGAAGAACCAGGACTAGAAACAGAGCCAGAACCAGAACCAGAACCAGAACCAGACGATGTATGCAAACTTTGGAAACCAATAGAATAAAATTCGTAAGCATGTGGACCTATAAAGTTCTCACAGATCATGAAAACAGCTCCGTCTTTGAAGTTATCAATGGTCGATGCCGGTGCTGATAACGATGGCGATACCGGTGGTGCTGATAACGATGGCGATGCCATATGTGGGGATAGTTCGTGCACACCTGAGGAAGAATAGGAGGATTTCGAATAAATTGTATGTATTGATTATAAATCAGAGAGATAGCGAAGAAGGATTAAATAACCCATCATTATCTATGTCAACCTAAACCCTATAATAGTGCTCGAATGCTCAAAATAACA